AACGAAAACATTTAATGTTTATTAAAGTAAATATTAGTTCAAGATGCGCAAATAAATCTAAATTACAGGCACCACTAAAATTTACGTAATATAATTATTTTGATACAGAATAGCAAAATGGGGAGAAAAAAAATTCGTTACTTTGCAACACTTTCGTATCTTGTTGCCGCGAAATTATTTTTCTGTTTTAGTGAATATTTACATAAAAATATGAGTTGAAACGCATTACTTACTTGTGGAATGCGATGTTAGTGTCTATTTTATGTTTGTCTGTTGTATTTTTACACCCATTTACCGCACATTTCGTCATTTTTAGCAAAAAATTTTGGAGCTGTTCGCGGTGCAATATGACCTTGAGCACTAACAGCCCGCGCGCTCCTGGGACGCGTTTGGAACCCTCTAACTTGCCTCACTTAGCGTGTGCGGGCTAGGTTTCTATGCGTTATTATTCTAAGTTCCATCGCATAATAAATGTTTCGTTATGTATATTTCTATTACAATACCACCTATCAATACCACAAGGTAAGTAATTATATATTGAATATTAAAATCTAACTCTACATTGCTACTACATGTACAAAAATAATAGTTATTCCCCGAATATCCCCAGTGTCACCAATCTTCTATTCTATTTCCTTGGCGGCCACTAGGCTTGGGCCAGTGTTAGTTTCGAATACAAAACTCGATCGGAAGTTTCCCGCGCTTTTTACATTCTATTAGTTGTTGTTTTTTCAATTCTTTCCGTAAAGGAAAAGGCAAAGGTTTCACACCATACAGCCATCCAACATTCTATTGGACAGAAACGAAGAATGACAAAGATATGATAGAAACTTTATGGACGCATTCATATTTCACAAAGTGTTTATCTATTAAAAACATCACACAACACAACACAAAACACAACTCAAAAATGTATATTTGTTTGAAGCTTATTGAAGCTGACTTTTTTTCATCTTCTAAGATTTGCGTATTTTGTTGACATGGAATGATAGATATAGAAAAAAAAATAAAACATTAGCTATAAAACCTTCTTCATTAAGCTACCCAGTGTAAATAATTATTTGTCTGATGATGATGATTTTAGATAGACTTGAATGTGTACTAAATGAAGTTTATTCCATTTATAAATATAATACAAGATTATTTTAGCAGGTGACACAAATATCAATACTCTGTTACCAGGTAAAATTACTACGCACTATAAAGACCTCGCTCTTAATTATAACTTGACTGTGCATATAACTGAACCTACCAGAAAAAAGTCGTGTCTTGATCATATTCTCAGTAATATAAAAAATGCAAGCGCAATGATCTTAGCTGTATCTGTCCGACCATGAAACTGCACAATTATTAAAATACCCAGTAAAATCTAAAGGTAATAAACCTAAAACATATTATTTGTATAAAAGAGACTACAGTGAAGATAATATTTTTAAATTTAATCATTGTTTAGAAAATCTTAAGTTTCATGACATTTTTGAAGAATCTAATATAAACGTAGCATTTAATAAATTTTATGAGCTTTTTAATCTGTTCTATCTCCTCTGTTTCCCCAAGATAAGAATTAAGAAGGATTTAAATAAGAAACAAAAATGGATCACTAGAGGACTAAAAAATAGCTGCAAAACAAAAAGGCTCCTAAGATGTAAGTACTATAAACACAAAAATAATGCAAATAAATTAAAATATTTAAAATTTTCAAAACTATTAAAAACATGTACCTATATATAAACCCAAAAAAAATTACAACATACGTTTTATTAATAATAGTAAAAATAAAAGTAAAGTGACTTGGACAGTAATCAACAATGAAATTGGTTCCAATAACTTACAGAAAAATGAAATTGAATGTATAAAAAATTACAATAAATTAATAAAAAATACAACAGAAATGGCCAACGTATTTATTTATATTTTATAAAAACAACTGAAAGAGATATTATCGATAGGCCTAAAAGACAAAACAAGCTCTGTAACCACCCTCAGTCAATGTTTTTAATACCAATGACTGAGAGTGAAGTTTGGAAGGAGGTGATGTCTTTAAATAATACCAGTTCTGAGGGATTTGATGAAACTTGTACCAAAGTAATCAAAACCTCCATTCACAACGTGATTTTTATTTTTACGCACCTAATTAATTTATCTTTCATGACAGGAATTTTGCAGACATATTAAAGACTTCCATCATTAAACCCCTAAACAAAAAGGGTGACAAAAATGATTTTAGTAACTAACGTCCCATAACTCTTATCCCAATATTTTCTAAAATAATTGAAAAATGTATGCACAAACGTTTAAGTGAATACTGTGATAAATTTAAATTAATACGCAATGAACAATTTGGGTTTCAAAAAAAATAAATCGACAACACTTGCCACTTTTACCTTAATGAAAGAAGTTTTAAGCAAAATTAATAATAAAATCTTGACCACAGTGCTCTTCTTTGATTTAAGTAAAGCTTTTGATTTCGTTTCACATGCCGTTCTTATGCAAAAACTGGAAGCTCTAGGTGTGAGAGATATCCCTTTGAATTGGTTTCGAAGTTACTTACGTAACAGACAACAACAAGTCGTGCTGTCTAGGTTAAATAAAAACAATGAGATGGTCTCATTTACTTCAGATTACCAGTTTAACAGATACGGAGTCCCACAGGGTAGTGTGTTAGGTCCCCTTTTATTTCTTATATATATTAATGACATAGTTGACGTAACCAATCATAAATGTATAATGTTTGCTGACGATATTTCGATAATAGAGACTACCAAGGGTAAAATCTGTACTGACACATTTCATTCAAATTCACGAAGCTGATATAAATAAAACTATTAATTTAATTACTACATGGCTTGACATTAACAATTTGCAAATAAATTTAACTAAAACCAATTATATAAACTTTAATAATTCAATTCAATTCAAATATTTATTTCAGATAAAATCCATATAGAGTTAGTAAACCAAACAACTTAAGAACTAGTGTTAGTATTAATATTAATATAATTTAAAAGACTACTTATAGATTTAAGATAGTGTGGAGCTTTATCCACCTACGCAGAAGTGGCGAGTCCCACCGATCTTTAAACACACACAGGATGCCGCTGGAGCTATCACGGAGGCGCCTTAGCGCAGATGCACACCTTTTCCTCATGATGGCCATGAAACCGTCCATCTGAGCCTCGGCAAACATCCCCGATGCACTACACCTCCACGGAAGCCCTATCAGCACCCTGAATGCGTTATTATATTGAACACGCAAATCGCTGAATGTCCGCCCCGAATATGCGACCCACAGACTGCACGTGTACAGCACTTGACAGTAGGCTTTAAATAGTGTAATTTTTACCTGTTTAGTACAACGTGCAAATCTGCGATCGAATAATACATCAATATTACTACAAATTAGATATAAGGAACTGAATATTGACGAGCTAAACGAAACCAAATTTTTAGGTATAATCAGTAATAAACAGTTAAAGTGGAATCTCACATCGAAAACGTTTGTGAAAGAATTAACAAATTTGCTTTCGCCTTGAAATGTTTGCGTAATATAACAAATATGTCAACCATGTTAACAGTTTATCACGCATATGTAGTCTCGACCCTACGTTATGGACTTCTTTTCTGGGAAAATGGTACGAATACAAACAGAGTGTTATTAGCACAAAAAAAATGTATACGTGCAATTACTGGTAGGACTCCGTTTGAATCCTGTAAACCTATATTTAAAGATCTTGGTTATTACCCCTGCCTGCCTAATATATTTATGAAGCTAGCATTTTTGTGAAAAATAATTTACATTTGTTAATTAAGAGTATTGACGTGAATCATCGAAATTATAGAAATCCCAATAGACTAATTTTTTTGACGTACCTAAGGTAGAAGAATATAATCAAAATTGTTTGTGTATGTGTGTCAGAATTTACAATAGATTACCAAATGACATTAAACACTTACCCATTACATTATTTAAGACTAAATTATATGAATTGTTAAAGAATAAAGTATATTACAGTACTAGGGAATTTCAACAATAATTATTATGTAAAAGAATTTAAATTAATTATATATAACTTAAGGTAAATGTAACTATGTGACGACCTATTTTTCATTTATTATGCATGCCTAAATTATCTTCGGGCGAAACATGCTTCAACATATATATATCTGTGTTATCATGACCACCATGTTTTATTTTTATGCAAACAAACAATATTTAGTTCACTTCTTTTCACTGCTTAAACAGTGCCGCGCCGCTGCTGCTACTAAAATGAGCTGAGCCACAAATTTTTTTCTTGTGATGTGGACTGTGGCTTAACTCAAAGTCAAAATCAAAGTTTCATTATTCAATCAAAAATATTTTTCATTTTTCTTGTGTATATCCATGCCTTATATCAATTTGCCATTGAAAGAATCTAAAAAGTTAAATAACTCTAAACTTGAACGCAATTAATTTAAGGACTGCACTGCGACTGCGCGTTACCTAAAGCGTAAGGCAAGGTATAGACATCCACGCCGTAAGGTGTAATACATCTGTTTTCTCGCTTTATCTACAGCAAAATTATATGTCTATTACACTCTTACAAACAACACTGAAATGTCGTGGGTTGTTTGGTTATGTCTTGTGTCTTATTCTGTTAAAATTTCCCTTTGTTTAATGCTATATAATGTTTCGAAAATGGAAAGAAAATAACTCCCGTAAAGTTGCGTCCGAAATCTAAAGGTAGGTATTGAATTTATCTTCCAGTAGAGTTATATTTCAACATACAAATTTGACATTTACTTTTGCTATTGGATATCAGAATCATATTTCTAAAATATGTCGTAATTCTTTTCTATTTTAGAACTATTTTTATAAACAGACACTGGCCCAAGCCATTAATGTGAATAATTGTAACTATTTTCGCTACTATTAGTGACTATTTTCATTTTTACTGTTTGTTATACTTGAGGGAGAAGATGTGAATCAATTCGATAAAAAGTTCTTAACTGTAAGCTTCACTGTGTAATTTCAAACCATATTTATTCATATTATATTTCAGGAATTACGATTCATCATCTATTTATTTATTTTAATTGACACCATACGTTTGTTCAATAGCCAACCAATTTCGTCACAACATAATTGTTTATAAGTACCGTTATACTGTTTGCATGATAATGAACATTCGAGGTAATGTACCCCAATGTTTCTTATCACCAAAATATGCAGATTACAGACTACTTTTGAATGAGGTTATATAATATTTCAAGAGCACATTTGCCAATGGTACCATGGAAATAATTGCTATTAAATGAAGAAAAGGCGTTCCGTAGGAATAGCTATTTATAGAGAAGGCTTTTTTCTTACAATTCTAAAAGCCAAGTTAGTAATAGAAAAATAAAATAGACATCTTTTTTAATTTTTATTGTTAGATATTACCTATTTATTGTGGTTAAAGCTTATTATTTCAAAGTGCTTTCTTTTAGGTAAGTATCAATTCAATATTTCAAAAAATCCCTTATCAATAAAATGGAATTTAATTTACATGTTACGTCAGTGAAAAGAGATTTGATCGCACAACATTTCAATTAAACATAATTTGACTTGATGTAATAATATTATGTGAAGAAAATTTATCCATATTGTTTTTTTTGCTAAATGGACACCTAGATTAAATAAACGATCAGAAAAATCGGAAATATTTTATAATTATTCTAAGGTGTATGAACATAAGGGTCACTCGAACAAGTCCAAGGAACCAAAAATTACCACAAATACTAAGGAAATGTTAAAATAATTTTTATAACAACTTGATGAAATGAACATGAATTGGTAACTTTTATAATCATAAGTTACAAGTGAGTGTTGTAAACATTTATAAAAAAAAATTTTTAATGTGTAATAGACACACACTTAGCCACAATCTCACCTGATGTTAAGCGACAATGTGACCGACATTGAGACGCATTTGCCTAAAAAATGCCTATTCACTCTAGCTTTGACTAGCCCCAAATTGTACTTTTCGGGAAATACAGATGCAATATAGCATTCCATTCCCTTGTCGTGCGCATCAGAAAGGAGGAAGCAAAGCGCTTAGTGCGAATAGGTGGAATATCAACGACATAAGAATGGAGCGCTTCGGACCTTCTAGTCCAACAAGCAGGTTACTTTTATGCGATGGTCGAGACTTTGTAGCTTCAACTCCACAAGAGAATTGTTGTTTCTGAATTTCTTGTCTAGCGTCTCTTTGCTTTTCGCTTCACCGAGTCCAAGGCAGCTAACTGGTAATGGGCAGAGCCGGCCCAAAGGTGGCAGCAGCACTCCATACACCATCGAACTTTATACAGATTTAAATGCTGTTCAGGTGTGAAGTACCGCCTGACTTTGTAAAGTATGCCTAGTTTTTTTTGCAGCATTTTTTGCCAGGCACTCGATGTATCGCCCAAAGGTGAGGTTAGATGATAAGTCCAGACCAAGTAACTCAAGAGACCTTATCGGCACGGATAGTCGGAGTAAGGTGTAGGAGACTCCGATTTGATGTGAAAAGACACGCCTGTGTTTTAGCCACATTAAACCGACCTTGTTCGCATCTCCGCAGTCGGAAGCCGCTTTCAGGCTCAGGTTCAACCGGGTGACCATCGCATCCCGTTTACACCGGATCTCTTCGCTGTTGTCTCGGGCGTCTGGCACATAACTCTCTACCACTGTGCTGTCGTCTGAGTACCCAGAGATACCGGGCATCAGCAGCAGGCCGTTGATATGCAGCAAGAATAGAGTGGACAAATATTACGTTGCACTACATTACGAATCAATTTTTATGTCATTCACAATTCATGATTTAAATAAACAATACATTGCATTACATTTACATTGCATTAGAAACCGTAGTGTTTGAGTCAGTACTTTAGTAGCAATAGACTCCTTGTGAAACAGCTCGTCCAGGGAAGCGCTGAACCTTACCTATTTCTGCCGCCAAGCTAATGTAAGCATTACTGCGTTTTGGTTTCAAAGGGTAAGGGTGCTTGTGAAATTACAGGCACATGGGACTTGTCAATTTATGTCTCGTGTCAGGGTGACGGGTGCAGTGGCGCACCGTGTGTGAGTGGGGCACCGGCCCCTAAGATCTTTGCTATTTAAAGCTCTGAGTGTCACTACAAATGTTATAGATAGGCATGTCGCCCGCCGTGTCGACTTGTTCGTCCCATCATATCACTTGAATAATTGTTTTATAAAAAAAACAATCATCAACTTTTTATTTTAATGTGATGAACACTAGAAGTAGTATGCACCTACATACAGTTAATTAAATTGATTGCTTATTATCTAGCGTTTTCCATATTTTAATGACTGATTTGGCTATTCAAAAATGGTAAAAAGAAATACCGATAACATAAACCTAATCAAAATTCATAATTGTATCTGTTCAAAAATACATCTTGAATCTTCATGTTAAGATTTCATGAAAATCTCGTAAATGTTCAGTGAGTTTGACTGTACGTAGTGGGACATTCTGTTATTATTCGATAATTGTTATATAAACAGAACACTGGTACTTTTTTCACGTTAGGCGCACTATATTAAGAAATATATTTTGGATTTAATATTTTGGAGTTGGCTCTGAAAGAGTGAAAATTGTCAATGAAAGGTTTAAGAGCTTGGTGAGTGAGATGAGTCTGGAAAGTATACGGCTAGATATAGAATCAAGACACTTTAGTTGCAATGTCGAATATGCTGACGACATAAGGCGCGTTCAGGTTAGCACCGAAGACATAGCAGCATCAGTCCAGGGCGGCTTCCGCACCTTGACCTAGGTGGGCGTAACGACGCAATAGGTCACGGGGGAGCAGGGTGCGGCGGCGGGGGTGTTTGGGCGGGCGTAGTAGCGTAGTGACGTCAGAGGCGCGCAATATCGACCCCGCGCGCCGTCACAACATCCCCCTCGTTCTTCCGCGCAACCTCACCAACACCGCGCCGCCGCTGCCGCGCATCTACGCAGCGCGCAACCCGGAAGTCCGCTAACGCTAATGGAAAACATGCCTCGGTTCGATGATATCCGGTTCACCAGCACCCTCCACTCGAATGGGATTACCGGTGACACCTCCACATGGGCGCTGTAATCTCCGTACTGTCTGCAATCCCACGCAGCGTTCCCCGGCCTGCTGTTATATTTAACTTTTCCTATCGATCTTTCTTGTATGCGCCTCGTAGGTGTCTAAGCTTTTGGATCCATTCATTCGAAATGTTGAATACTCCGCTTTAGTTGTTAACAGTAGATAATCTCCACTAAATGGAAGGAAGTCTTGTAGTACTCTATAGTTCTTAAAAAGCAAGTTAGAATTACGATACTAAGCCACTTTTTCCTAGGAATTCGTATCAGATTTACGGCTTATTTTCTCTTCATCCCATAAAAAACTAAATCATCTCGTCGGACTATTTGCAATTAGCTGTTTTTTCCGAGAATTGTCTATGGATTTCTGCGTTAAGTTATTTACTTTATCACGAAAGTTATTCGGTATCATGGGCAGAGTAACTCAATGATATTTTTAACACCAGTATGATCGGGTCGATAACTATATTAATAAAAAATAAATTATATTAATATTAATAAAAAGATAAATTATAATAAGTATCATGGACTAAATATCGCGTTACCTGCTAAATATTTGAATCAAATGTAAAGTGTAGGAGCGGTATGTTTATACAAACACCATTACACTAAAAGCTATCTATTCGGTTATCGCCAATGTGGAGTCGAGTAGAGCAAAGTCAACAGGCTCCAACAAGTGCGCAGTTATGGCTGCGTCGTAACAGGGCGGAACTTCCCTCCAATTTTTGCGGCAAAGTCCTTGACCCAATTCCAAAACCCCACTGAGTTTAGCTACGATGTGGTCTGACACAATAAATTTCTATTAACCAACTCTTTCTGTTTATTGCGTCAGGTGAGACTAAATCACTCGACCAGTCTACATTTTGCCTCTCGCATTAAATTGCATACAAAGTTTTGTTTTCTAAATTCTATAAAATTATTTTTATTGTTGAATTTAAATACCTCTTTGCAGACATAGCCATCATGTTTATATAGTCGGCCAACTTTAAAAGACTTCACGTCAATAGAAAGACCTTAAATAAAAAGTACATCTCCGGAACGCGTAAGCACGAAACAATCGCTGACACCTGTATATTAAGAAAAAATTTGGTACTACAAATATCTTGTGATCGTTTCACCGCAATAGAATTAATTGCCTACATCAAAAATAACACCAATGGCTCAAAATAAAATATGTTCACAAAACATCAGCGCAACGGAATCATCATCAACATTGACATTAAGGAAAACTCCCATTTCTGAAAATATTATACAGGCCGAACACTTCACTACAACAGAATTGCCACCGTTAAAACGTTTTAAAAAGATCCCCATCTACGTAGTTGAAGAACACAACGATGCACTTCAATTTATTTACTCCGCGATTGGCGGAAAGAAACTCCCGCTTGAAGGAACAACGTTATTGCATTTAGATGCCCATCCGGATATGCTTATTGACCGCAAATTGAAAGGCAGTGAGGCACGTTCGGGAAGAGATCTATTGCCATTATTGCAAATAGAGAACTGGATTGTGCCAGCAGTTGCCGCGGGGCATATCAGTCGAGTGGTGTGGCTACGTCCGCCCTGGGCCAAGCAGTTTCCTGACGGTACCCGCACCTTTAACGTGGGAGATGACCCTAGAACAGGCTATCTCCGCGTTGATAGCAAAGAACCGTACTACCTTTCTGACGCTCTGTATTCTGGGACACTTACGAATAAAAGAACATTAACATTCACAGTAGCCGAACTATATCATTCGTTATTGCCAAATTCTATCCAACACCGTATTCCGCAGCTTGTCAAGAATATCAGTATTTCACAGCCATATATATTAGACATTGATTTAGATTTCTTCAGTACTAGCAATCCATTCCTAAGTTTATATCAGCAAATAGCACTTTACGACCTTTTGGAGCCTATATTTGAATTTAAGCTTCCCAATGACGACGAAGTAGATACATTTGAGAAAGCAAATGAGAATCGAGAACAGCAATTGGATGAATTAGAAATATTATTTAAGCACTTGGAAGTTTTCGGAAATCTTGCTGAATACCAAGGTGAAAAAACAGATTCGTTTAAAAAGGTTAGTCAAAGGCACTTTAAAACAGTAGTTCAGAACTAAAAGCTATTTAAAACATCTATATGCAAATAACTTGCATTGGCTTTCACCATTTTAATATTTATAAATAATATATAAAGCATCTTAAACACTTATAAGTAAATATATTTTAAACTTAAATACATACAGGCACAGGAAGTGCATAGGAATGCACTAGGATCTGTATGTTAATTTGACATATTTTTACAGGTGCTAAGTATATCGAAAAAAGTAAACATAATAGCCGCTAAAGAGGGTGAATCTCCAGACTGGTGGGCAATATATGCAGCAGGTTGCACAAGAGACCAAGGAGGATTACCCTATTATATTAGCAGTGAGGAACAAATTCGTAATATGGTAGAAAAGGGGTTGATTCCATTGTTGAAGAGACTTCCTCCTCCCGTGCTTATTACAGTCGCCAGGTCTACGATTGACGGCTATTGCCCAGCGAATCAGGTCAGTGAAAATTTATTTCTTTCTACATTAATGTTATCCCTCCAGTTGTTCAAGTTAATAATTAGAGGTGAGCGTTTAAACGAAAAGGACTTAAAAAAATTTGCTTTTTAAAATAAGCACATAAGCACGCCTTTCAATTTAAGCGTAAGCGTTAACAACGTGCTTATGTTTTAAGTCCCGCCATCTACGTTTCCTAAATGATTTAATTCATCAATGTGAATAATATTTTAGATAAAAATAAAACTCGTGTTTTACAAATAAACTTGCTTATCTTAAAAACCTACTCTTGATTTTCGCTATCAACACAACGTCGCAGGCGTTTCTTAACATAAAAGTCTACGTGCTTAAACGTTTTTGTAAGCTTCAAACTAAAAAACGTGTAAGTGAAAAGCGGTTTAAAAAACACAACATTTTAATGTTTAAAAAAATAAGCAGCTTTTCCCATCTCTGTCAATAGCCGTACCTGAGAAGCATTACGCTGTAAGTGCTATTTTTTTAATTTTACAGGTGACGCGATTTTGTGTCGAAATGCAGCATGTACAACATTTAGGGTGGCTTGAAATAAAACTAATTGAGTTTTAATAACATTTTGAGTTACCCTAATTGGCGTACAAACTGCTTTTCAACACAAAATCGTTTCCCCTGTAAAATTACAAAAATGGCGCTTACAGTTTAACGATTCTCAGGTACGGATGTATTATATGAGGTACACTTTTTTTCATAGTACGCATGCACTCCACGTCAAAACCCCAGAAGCTTATTCTGTACTTCAAACTTTCCCAAGCCTTATCCGCAAATAAGATAATTTTAGAAATTAATTTTTATTTTAGGGGACCTCTGTGGTCGATTAGCTTGCACACCGGTTTTCATGGTGTCGCTGAGGTCCCGGGTTCGATTGCCTGCCGGGTCTGTGTAGGAAACTAACTTTTCTATTATTGTCTCGGGTCTGGGTGTTTGTTGTACCGTCGTTGTTTGCGATTTTCATAACACAAATGCTTTTGCTACTTACTTGGGGATCAGAGCAACGTACGTGATATTTTTTTTAGAAATAAATCTCTGCATGCGAAATATGTTATAAATAACTTAGGGTTTCTGTGAATTGAAAGGTATGGTAAGATAAGCAATTTATTGCGTGAAGTCTGCTGATTAGTTCCATAGCTCAGTTGGGAGAGCGGTTAATCCCGGTCTGGCAAACAGGCGCTGGTTCGAATCCAGCAGGATCGAAGGAAGTTTTCTTTGTGTTTCAATATTAATTTGTTATTAACATAAGTCTTAGAATTGACGTTGTTTTGTCCATAATAAGCCCCTATTAGTGTGGCTCTGATGAAATTTTGATGATTACGCACTTAATTATTATATATTTTGTTCCAGGTCGAAATGATTCAGTCTCTCATTTTAAAAACACTCAAAGAAATATATGACACAGATGACCCAGCTTTACATTATTTAACTGTGCATACATCCTAATTCCCAATGTCTTGTTTATAGAGGCCATGTCAGGCAACGTGAAATACATGGTTTATTATCAGGTTAACACATTACAAAGATTTTTCAATTATTACAGAACTGAAATCGTAACTTATTGTTTAAATAAATTATATAAGGAACAAACAATCTGGTTTTTAATTTTACCAATCGTCGATATCAGTATTATTATTACTAGCTTTTTTCGTATTACTCCCGTAACTTATAATCGTATCATTCCATGTACGTATATCGTTCGAGTTTATTATGTTACCCCGATAGTAACAAATTTCTGTCACTGGTTGTTTCATGAATTACGCGTCAGTTTGTGTAAAAAACTATTATGTTTGGTTTCGGACGCTAACTCGCTCAGAAATGGGCTTCAAAATTGAATTAATGTTGAATCCGACGGACGTCGTCGCCTCGGCGTCGGGCGCGCTCTATGCCACTCTAGTGCCAAATGCATACCATATTTCACAAATAATGTGCTTAACGAACATTTACGTAGAGATTTTTGCCTTGGAAAATTTTTCAAGCGTTCGCATAACACAAAAACTAGTTTAATATGAGCGATGGAGCAATGCGATAAATAATTCATAAATTCGCTTAAACTTCATTACTTTTTTCGTGTTATGTTAATGTAAAAAATACGTGTTTTCAATAACTTTTTGTTACGGTGGGCGTTGAATTTTTTTATCTTTCATAAGTGGACAGTGAGCTAAAAATTTAGGAACCTATATGCTAGGCTTATACTTATAAAAACTAAAATTTTTAATATAGCTAAAGGATGATGTAGTTGCTATTTTCCTTCTCCACCGCGCAAAATGTGCACGTGCCAAATTTGCGATTATTTTGACTGTTAATATTTTTCTGTTATATATTTGTTTGTATTATCGAATAAATTAATCGTTATAAAAACCAAGTGATCACAACAAATCAAATGGTTATGTGAAAGTGCAATCATTCACTAATCAATCAATCACGGCGACGCGCGCCGTAAATAGGTCGCGACTTGTTTACGGCAGAGGATCAAACATCCGGCTATCCGGCCTAGAGGCCCGCCGGATATCCGCTATCCGGCCAAATCACCATCTGTTTCATCTCTAAATTTAACTATTGTATTGTAATTTTTTTTTTTGTTATATTTTCTGATTATATATGTATATATCCAATTGTTATTGTTTGTTTATGCTATTGTATGAATAATATGTATGTATTAATAACTTTAAATGCACGCTTCATTAAAAGTGAAATAAGAATTGCGTAAGATATTCACATGCCAAGTCTTGGTGAAATGTTTGATCTAATATAATATTATACTCTTAAGACCTGCATTGTTAACTACTGCATTTTTACTACATTTTTCAATAAATAAATATAATAAATATCTTGTATCCTTGTATCATTACCAAAATTTTGTAGTGTTTCAAATTTTGAATGTATGAGTTTAGGTGATATCATTGTATGATCTCCTTCCCTCGGTCATCCCCATATCGTCTGTTTAAAGGTAAAACCACATAATTGACTTTTCCACAAAAAGTATGTAATTTATATTGCTATTCCTGGGGACTGCTGTATCGGGGTTTGTGTTCTGAATTTCCATTAGATTTCTTTTAACTCTCAATCATTGTACAACGTCGCAAAATTAGTTATGACCTTTTACTTTACGTGCTAACAAATTATATTAAGAGGTAGGTGTTTTTTTTTGGAACATTAAACAAATCTTTATTACATTTTTTTAAAATATATCCGTTAGTCTATAATGCCATAAATTCACTTAAACTAAGATTCCAAGCACCAGCGGTACCTACCATTTTTTAGCGAGGTCTCAATTTGACATCCGAGCGTCATCAGGGGTACCAAAAAGAACTACACAGATTCCAAGTTACACTTTTGATCATTTTAAAAATCTTGCGACAGCTATTATGGGATATATATATCCAGGAAATATTGGATAAGTTTTGCTTTGTCTTGGTGCAAAAAAGCTATCTGAAACTATGTTAGGAGTCTGTATATTCAAAATACCAAATAAGGTTGATAAAAAAAACGACAATTAACAATAGTTTATTTCTGTAACGGGATAGTATTCATCAGTTACAAACAAATAGAATCTTTGCGCGCTGAATAACATCGCCATTAGATTAATATGGCTGATTAGTTTTTTTTTTAATAACGGCCTTTACTCTGCATTGGGACAGGTTAAAAAAGTCCTATAAGTGACTCATTTAGTCGTTGGTGTACAATTTGAACCGGCTTAATCGTTCTTGAGTCTTAATTTTCTTTTCTGTTAACTCATTAGCGCAGAATAAATATATTGTAATATTTGATTTACCTATAGGCAGAAGGTAAGTGTACTTATCTGAGCTTATCTATCCACACGTGGAAAATTGCTCAATTATTTAAGCTACGTTCTATGGAAATATTAATATTGTTCTCCAAAGATAGTAGTTTTCCAAACAATGTCAGTGCCAAAATCTCTTATGTCTTGTTGAAAATCATATTAGAACCTTAGAGGCTGGAAAAAAAGTAAAGGAAGTTAGAACCTTAGACTATTTCCTTTATTTTTTTCATCCTCTAAGGTTAGAACTGAAATTTTGAATCATTTATTTCAATGACATGTTTTATTTTATGTCTTTGACGAATCGTGCGTAGAGGCAATTAAAATTATATGTAGTGAGCCTATTTTTATGTCTCACATGATCCAATTGTAGTAAATCTATTTGTGAATTGCCCAACACGTAATCGTAATAAAATGGATTTACAGCCCCTCAATTTATTGCATTGTATTGTCCATACGAATCACGTTAGAACCAACGTTACATATTTACATAACTATCTACAACTTACGAAGAAAATTACAGTAAGTATTATTAATTCAAATTTTTTTTTAAATAACGCACACACTCAATGTAGCCCCGCACTAGGGAAACCCTGTGTCGCGGGTGCCATGGACACACATAGACAACCACAAATTACATCCAAACTCACGAGAGAAATAAATGTAAGCCATACAAACATTTCTCCCGGCCCGGGAATCGAACCTGGGACCTCTGCGTGGCAGTCCGGCATGGTAACCGTTCGGCCACGGAGGCAGTTTTTAGTAATTCAAATAAATATACTCATAATAGAGGTTACATTTGTTGGTTGGTCAATGTCACATATATGGGATGGGTTAATAGCTAAGGGTCAAAGCAACGATATCTATGTAAGATAGAATTAAACGAATCAATGAAATCTTTAGGTTACAGTGTGAAATTACCATTCTATTATAAGAGAATTCAATCAAAAGTTTTAGAAAATAACTTTTAATCAAAATATGCTACCTATACACTTCGGCCATCGTCCAGAAAGAACATCCACACATTAGACCTGTAGAATTTTCTTAGGAACGGGAATAAATAACGCCAAAATTTCAAATTTACAAACCTAAGATATTATTTGAAAAATGTTTCTAATCGTAATCTTACCAACAAAAAAATTCAGTGTCCAGAATCTTAGTAGCAATTTATACTTTAACCCCTAATATTTTATGAGTAGGTGCATATTAATGTACCTACTTATCGTAATAATGTGAACTTTCTTGTATGTTCCATTCACAGACCACATGTTCCATTGATATAATATGAAACATAGACGTTAGATTTATAAGTAATTTTATTTATTGTTACGACCCGTTGAAAGTAGAATACGGTTGCATAGCAATAAAGATAATATTTTTGAAGTATCTTTTCGTTTTAGATAAATTAACAAAGGATCCGTTATATTTAGTGACCACATCATTGTATATCTACAAATTATATCTATAGAGATTGCAAGTGGACATTAATTTCACAAAACAGACTGTTTCTAGTACCTACAACGGAAAATGGGGCATAATAGCCGGAAGACATAATTACATAATCGACCAAAATGCACGGGACAGCTGGTTACTTGGTTAGGTTACTAGAAATTGTTTGTATTTTTGAATTACCCCCAATTAATCACCTTGAGGGCCATTGTTATGAGATTGCAGAACTTGAATAAGTACAAGCCAAAATGGCTATATTATATTTTTTCGATTAATAAAATATAAAAAAGAAATAGATACCTACATTCCAGCGAAACCAGTGCTAGAAAAGACCTGATAGAAGAAGATGACAAGTTGCTGTCGCTGGGAGTCATAGGACCATAGGTAGTTAGGGGAGCGCCTTGAGTCGTACAGAATTTCTAATTATGATATTTCATAACATATTCCTAAAGTTAATTACTTGCGAACGTTCTCGAACTTCACATCGATTTACAAAAGCCTGAGGATAACGCTGGGTTGCATAGCGTTACCCTACAATAGAAGAGCTGACACGGACATACCGATTTCAGTTTAATCAATTCAAATGTAAAGTCATCACCTTCGCAAGAATACCAATTTACGAGCTACCGTAATCGGATTTTTGCTCATGCATTGTACTTATACGAAATTCCAATTGATCGTATTTCGGTGATCAACGATCCCAATTTGACTTTGATTCGCAGTTTACATTCAAAGAACATAATATATTGTAATTTAACTGTCTCCGTGACCGAAAGGTTACCATACTGGTCTGCCAGTCACGGGTCCCTGGCGGACCAGCATTTATTTCTGTTGTGAGTTTGTAATTTGTGATTGTCTATGTGTGTGTCCATGGCACCCGCGATACAGAGTTTTCCTAGTGCGGGACTATAACGAACAAGGGGGCTATGAGTGTGTGAGTTATTATTATTGTAAAAATTTGCAAAAAGGCAAACGGTTAATCATTTCACTGACTTCATGATTAATGATATACAGTACCTACGTTCGTAGCGTATTGGAATTCGGAGTGGTACGTGTGGCGCACTATAAGTTTCCAGAATGAATAAGAAAAAAATACTATAATGGTCAGAAATGAATTTATTGTTTCTCAAAATATTCTGCATTTTTTCACACGAATGAATCAATTTTGAAAACATTTAAGCCACTCCTCCGTGACAATCTCTGAAATATATTTTTCATACTTTTCGACAGCCTCTTCAAGTGATGAAAATCGTTGACCACGTAACTGGTTCTTATTTTTGGAAATAAATAAAAGTCACAAGGTACCAGGTCGGGACTGTACGCAGGATGGCTCATAAGGTCAACGTTGTTAATTTTCAAAAA